TATGTTTATATATGTGTATATATGTATATCATTTCATTATATATGTATGTGTATAATTTTTAAAATTTTATTTTTATTATTATTATTTTATTATTATTTTTTATTAATTAATATTATTAAATATTAGGGATTGATGATGTGGTAGATGACTAGGATGCCATGTCAACATTAAATAATATTTTTTTTCGTTCAGGGTTTTATTTTCCAATTTTTAAAAGTATAGAGTTTTAATTGCCAATTTTTAAAAGTATAATGTTTTTTTGGATCAAAAAAAAGTATAGGGTTTAAATTGCTACGAGAGAAAAGTATAGGGTTTTAAATGGAATTATCCCAAAAAACAAAGACTAAACTAGAATTAAATTACAATATGAGAAAGAAGCCCAAACAAATTGAGCCATGAGCTCCAAGCCCATAAACCCTCTCATTGGGCCTTCTCCAGCCCAATCTTATAAATTACCCAGAAAATCTTTGGGAAGTAAAACATACATAAATATGTTTTGAATTTTAAAATTGTATAAAACAGTTACAAAGTTTTAGTTTCTAATCGGATCCGATTTCATGTAACAAACACTATATATAGATAAAAAGTGCGTATTTGTATATATTACTAGAGAAATATATGATTTTTGTATCTAACAATAACTATAAATACATAGAATTATTGAGTTTTGATTTGATTTGAGTAGATATTAAAAGTCTTAGATGGAGAGATAGAGATTGACAAAATAGGGTTTAGATCAAGCAACTAAAGAAACAACAAAGTTTTTCATCTTTTTATTTATTATTGTCCTTGAAGTGAGATCAACTCTATAATAAATATGGATTACCAACCAAATTCATGACTTTTTTTTTTTATTGGAAAGGCCAAGGTTTAGTCTCTCCAAAAAAAAAAGTGTTCCTCTTTTTTTTTTTTGGTCTAATGTACACAACCTATTCCATCATAAAAAAAAACAGCAATCCTATGTTCTTGTTCTTCTTCTTCTTTCTTGGTGTCCTAATCTTTCATTCTATGTTCCAACAACAACAGCTAGCAATGCCCCAACCAAAATTTGTTAAAACTTCAAGTGAATAGAGATTGTGGACAGTTCCTTGTCCTTTATCCGCAAATTTCTACGGTACCTCCTCGCCTTTGGCGCCGTGGGAGCTTCGACCTCATCCCCCCGTTCAGTCGGTCCATCTGGATTGAGTTCACCGCGGAAAACCAACGTTTTCTTCGGTGTTGTATACGCGAAATGCGAGTGTTTTGCTACCAAGGTCTGTGAAAAAAAGACACCAGAAATGGTTATAGGAATCAGCAATGTTTGGTTAGTAATGATTGTACTAGTGTTTAACTATATATATATATATATATAAATGTGTGTGTGTGTATATATCAATCTGTGCTACTGCATACAGCTTCTCTTATTGTTTTGGACACATGAAACAATTGCTTCAGGTCTTCATGCTCGACACCGCAGAGAACCCTAACCTGTCATATACCGAAAAAGGAAATTCAAAGAGTTGAAGCGATCTATGGAAATAGAAAGTGGACAGAACCGAAAGTTGAAAGCTTTGCATTTTCCCCATATCCAGAGAGATGTATAGGATTATTGAAGATAAAACCTTTTTTCAGCTCAATTCATCGTTGGATAATCAAATTCCCAAAAAAAAAAAAAACAATTTACCAGAATGTCTGGAGGAAGAGATTCAAGTTGAGAAGTTCCATTGTCGGAAACTAATGTCTCGTGGCAAAGCCTCTTCGACGAGATTTGTCCAAACATCGACACTTCTTCTTCACCGGAAATCCGAACCCTTTTCCTCTCCAATCGCCTCCTGTATCGCACAGATTCTAACCCTAACCCTAACCCTAAATCTCCATCATCCACAGCACGAGTCCTCGAATCCGAGTTCGACTTCAGGGCACCGAATTTCCTCTTCCCCAATGCCATTTCGCCCAAAACAGGAAGAACCCACAAATCTCTCCCGATAATATCTGCATCATGAACACAAAAGAAATGATCTTTTCGATGCCCAAAACCGCAATTCAGTGACCCAGAAAAAAAAGAGAGGGTTTTGAGCAGAAAGCAGAGAAACAGAGCAAGAGGATAATGGAACAAGAAACTGACCTTACGTACAAAGATATGGGAACTAAGAAAACAAATCCTAGGTTTCAGTGATATTGTTCAGATTTTTTTTTTTTTAATGTGGAAGAAACAACGAAGTACTTATAGTTGAGATTTTTTTTCGCAGTTAGCCAATGATTTGTTTATTTATTGATTGATTTTTGGAACAGAAATATATCTATTTTTATTTTACTTTTCAAAAAAAAGGAAAAAATCACCCTTTCTGTGATTATCCATCATTTGGCGGTTAATAAATAGGGAGAACAAGAACTAGCCGTTGTACAGAACACGTGGCGGCGTATTATTCGAAGAAGGCTGCATGTGCTGACGTGGCGACATATCATCTGAATGCACACGATTTATTTAATTTGTTTACTAATTAATCTTCGTTCGTTGGATTCTACGAAGGCACTCTGACACAAAACAGTTTCGTGAGATTTCCAGGAGCCACGGTTGGGGCAAAGTGTTTGTTTTTATCTCGATCATTATATTTTATGTTTATATCCATTTTATATATAATTAATGGGTTTTATCTCGATCACTAGAGACGATGTCCTATTATGCAATGTCGTATTGCTCATACCAATTTTAAAATCGTTTTTTATTGTAAGCATAATATATAATTAAATTGCATATGACACTAAAACATGTGCAAATGTTCTAAGAAGATGGTGCATATATGCTATCTTGGTTATAATTGTATTAGATTAGGAATTAATTGGAGTGAGATCTCTAAATAAAAATATAATTAATAAGTTGAGGTCCTCTTTTATGCAATATAAAAGTAAAATCCCTCAATTTGAATATAATTATTTACAATACTTAAGTAAAAGATTGCCCATAGATTTTCTTTTGAAAAAACTTAACCCATAGATTTTTAAAAAATCGAAATGAGATCTAGTTTGTCCATAGATTTTTATTGATCTTTTATCAATCGCAATTAGTCACACCAATTAAAAAATATTTTTTGTACCATTTTTTAAACCAGAAATTTTGTGTATTTCGGTTATAATATATAATAAAAAAATGAATAATCGTCAATTTGATAAAATAATCCGAATAATTATCTTTTTTGGCAGGTGATTAATTAATTATTTTTTTATAAATTTATAGACGCTTGCATGCGTGAATTGTATGATTATGTATACGCATGCACTAGTGTCTAATTAATGTTCCGTTAATATTCCTCCATATATAATAAATGTATACTAGAAAATTATAATAATTAATTAATCCTTGCAAAAATCAAGCCCACCAAACGCAAAAACAAGATAATCGTGTTGCATATCTGTCATGCAACTAATAACATTTCATAAAAAGAATATATTTTGGTAGTCTTAACAAAAAAATATTTTGGTAGTTTAATTACACATATTACAAAATGTATTTTACAATATTTACACGAAAAACTACATTTACCATATTTGGTAATCACCAGGCGTGGTAGACCTAGACATATTTTTAATTGAGGGTAAGTTTAATTTGTGTAGTACAGACATACTTTTATAATGGGATATATAAAATTTTTACTTAAAATCAATTATATTTTATAAAGAAATTATTTTTTTAATTAAACAAATGGGGTATGTGCCCTATTCATTTTAAAGTAGGTCCTCCCATAGATTCAATTATTAGAGATGAACGTTTCGGTATTCAGTTCGAATTCGGTTTAAAAATTTTAGAGGATTTGGATCATAAAAATATTATATTTTTTGTTCGATATGGTTCGATTCTTGAATACGAAGTGGTAAATATTTCCATTTTATTTGTGTAAAAATGGATCAAAACGAATAATTAAAATATAACAATTAGAAAATAAATATAATATAAAATTCAATTGATGACAAATTTTTAGAACTAAGTCAGTCAATCAATCAAAGTATTAAAATAACTAAAGAATTGAACAATTTTTTTTGTTTAAATTGAGTACTTTTAAAATAAGACTAAACAAAATACGAATTTAATTTAAATCAAATAAAAAAATTGATTTATAAATTAAATAGATATAATATTTACAAAACCGAAAAAAATAATTTAACCACAATGCAAAATATCAGTAAACAAGATTTTTTTACAATCCAATTCATCAGTCGTTTCTTTCATCTTCAATTATGTTCTTAGTTTCTTTGTAGCCGTAATAATTTTTTTTTAAAAAAAATTGATGGTAATTTACTATTAATCCACAGAGATCTTTGGAAATTTTTGTGCAAAATCTGAATCCTCTAAAAACAAGAATCCACGAACAAAGATGAATTTTGGTTCTAACCGATTTCCTCATTTATTAATTCCGAAACATATTACAAGAACCGGAATTCTCAAATAACAAAACATATGTTTCTGAACCCTCTTAATGTTTATGTCTCATATATAGAGAGAGAGGGAGAGAGGATCAGTAGTAGTACCATCGTTTCAGATGATTCGTCGGACTCTTGGGCACATATCGATGATGTTCGTGCACCGTCACCTTCACGCGCGGTGCCATTTCCTTGAAACGTCGGCTCCTCTCGAAATCGGGCTCGAATATTCTCGTCCTCGGCCTACTTGGAGCAACCAAAGCGACGGCGTCGAGATTCGGGGAATTCTGCAAGAAGAACTGGATGATATCGAGCTCATGCCAATGGTTCTTGAACCCTTTGATCTCCAAAAACTTGACACTGTTCAACTTGTATGGGAAGTCACGGAGCAAATGCTTCTGATGCATCTCCCAATAGAGCCCTAGTTCGAATGTGAAATCATTCACCTGCAAAAAACACGAAAGAACGATGTTTTCAAGATTCATAAGCGATTCAAGAACGATATGTTTTAAGGGTATAAAAGACTTGCGTCGAGGTAGAATTTCTCGAGGCGAGGACAGTTCTTGACGAAGTCGGCAATGTCAAAGAGGTTGCAATAGGTATGGCTCTCCATGAGCAACTGTAACTCCCTCAAGTTGTGGAAGCAGAAGAGGATCTCGGTGAAATTTCTGCCCACATACCTCCTCGTGAGACCCTGCGGCATTCGGCTCCCGGAAAAGGGTTAAGTTTCTAAACTCATCTTATATTCTAAACCATTCAACAACAAAAGAGTAACTTCAAATCGAGAAAAAGAAAAGCACATGATGATAACTTCCAACCATAAAGCGTGTGAAAACTTGACGTTAAACTCATCCATATCAAGTAAATATTGACGAAAGAATACATATTATATCATATATCCTAAACTATTAACGGTAAAGAGAGTACGAAAAATTAAAACCGAGAAAAAGAAGCATGTGAGAATCACGTGATGATACTTTCAACTGTAAAGAGCGCGAAAACATCAGATTAAACCCATCCAAATCAAGTAAATATCGATGAAAGAATGCATCTTATATATATCCTAAACCATAAACGATAAAGAGTGCGAAAATTTAAAACCAAGAAAAAGAATCACACGATGATAACTTTCAAAAAAGCGCGAAAACATCAGGTTAAACCCATCCAAATCAAGTAAATATCTATAAAATAAGACATCTTATATATATCTTATATCCTAAACCATCAACAGTAAAGAGCGCGAAAATTTAAAACCGAGAAAAAGAAGTACGTGAGAATCATGTGGTGATAACTTTCAACGTACGGTAAAAAGCACGAAAACGTCAGGTTAAACCCATCCAAATCATGTAAATATCAATAAAAAAAGACATCTTATATATATCCTACATCCTAAACCATCAATGGTAAAGAGCACAAAAATTTAAAACCGAAAAAAAAACACGTGAGAATCACGTGATGATAATTTTCAATGATAAAGAGCACGAAAATGTCAGGTTAAACCTATCCAAATCAAGTAAATATCGATGAAAGAAGGCATCTTATATCCTATATCCTAAACTATCAATGGTAAAGAGCGCGAAAATTTAAAACCGAGAAAAAAAAAAGCAAGTGAGAATCACGTGATGATAACTTCCAACGGTAAAGAGCGCGAAAACGTCAGGTTAAACCTATCCAAATCAAGTAAATATCGATGAAAGAAGGCATGTTATATCCTATATCGTAAACCATCAACGGTAAAGAGCGCGAAAATTTAAAACCGAGAAAAAGAAGCATCTGAGAATCATGTAATGATAACTTCCAATGATAAAAGCGAAAACGTTAGATTAAACACATTCAAATCAGGTAAATATCGGTGAAAGAAGACATCATATATCATATATCCTAAACCATCAACAAAAAAGAGCGCGAAAACTTTTAGCCAAAAAAAAGAAGCATGTGACGTTAACTTCCAACGGTAAAGCGCGCGAAAACGTTAGACTGGGCTCATCCAAATCTAGTAAAGATCAATGAAAGATTCACATGATATATATATATATCCTAAACCATCAACGGTAAAGACGTTCTCTCATTTTACCTCGAGAAAGACGTTCGATATGGTAAAGACTTGAATGTTGGAGAAATGGCTGAGGAGATCGATCGCACTGAAAGGCATCAAGGATTTCCTCAGAGTGACAAAGTGAAACATCAAATCCTTCACCGCACTGACATCTCCGAAACCGAACAGAGTGATCAGTCCGGAGAAGGTAAAGGACTCGAGATTCGGAGCATCTATGAGGATCCTCTTCATCTCCTTGCAACCCGCAATGCTCAACGAGCTGAACCGATTATGATTCCTCGTGTTTATCCTCAGCTCCCGAATCCCGTGACACCCGACCAGTTCAAGATTCTCGAGGAATCGGCAGTTCTTGAAAACCGAGGCGACCAACTCCTCGGTCACGAGGATGCGGGAAAGGCAGAGAGACTTCAAGAACTTGAGACCCTTTGGAGAGGAGGGCATATGGAACTCGACCAGGCAGAGTTTCAGCACTGTCAGCGACTGAAGGGCCGAGAAATCGATAGAGCACTGCATCGGGAAAACGCCATCGAGAAAATCCAGCTCGAGTTCTTCCAATCCTTTGTCCAAGCACCACTGAATCCAAGTCTCTATCTGGGTTTGGACCCCAACATAGCAAAGAGTCAAGGCCAGTCTCTTGATCTCTGGGGCCTGGTTTCGCTCGAACACGGTCTTGATAATGTCAATGGCGTCGGCTCTCCGGCCGAAATCTCCGCTAAAGTCCAAGTTCCGACAGAAGAGCCACGAGTCTCTGAAGCTTTTTGAGACGAGAGTCGATTTGATTGCGTTTTTGATCGGGAAAAACGAGAGGATGTTCTGAACAACATCTTCGGGGACACTGAGACCCGAACTCTCTCCCTCTGTTGCGATTCTCTTGGAACAGGTTTCTTCGGGCATTTTGGTTTCTGCGTTTGAAAGAGACATTTTTTTTTTCTGTCTTGTCCGACTGGAACTGTGTTTCTTCTTTCTTTGTTTTTTTTTTTCAATTTTTTTTTTGTTTGTGTGCGGAAGAATCAGTTGTGGTTTGGGCTCTATTTATAGTGTACTACAATTTCTTTAATTAGTGTGTATATATAGTGTTGTAGAATATTGGAAATTTTTCATTTGATTATAATTTTATTTTATTTCAACAAATCTTAGTATTCTCAACTTATATTTAAAATTCGAATTCTAAATCCTCGAGAATTACAAGAAGCATATAATTTTTTTTTTATTCTTTCAGTTTCTATATTTATTTATTAATTTGTTTTCACCCATTTCTATATTTTATTTAATTACCCTCCGTGTGTATATTGTTTTTTTAATCATACATTATAAGGCATAACTGTTTTGATGCTCGTGGAAAGATAAGGCTGGACCCCACCATACAAGATTTACATGCCTTAAATGGATACTTAAAGTAATACTTTTTTAATATATTTTTTTTTTAATTTACCAATTTTGTGTTTATCTTTACAATTCTTTGCATAAATGGCAGCATTAAATCAGTTCCCAATTATTGGAAGGAAAAAGATACCTTCCACATATAGATTTATTTTATTTTATTTTTGTGTAACGTAAAAATTTCCAAACTCGGACCACTCTAAGACTTATCACGTTCAAATATTAAATTCATAATATTGGATTCGCTTATTTATTTCTTTCTCTAATTATGTGGGTTCGTTCATTCATTCATGCATTCACATCTTTGTTCAGTTATGTTGTTTTTATGTTTTAATGGGCATACGTGTCATTATTAACTTGATATATGGTAAAAGATATTTGGACAGCATTAGATATTTTGAACAAAAACATTAAAAAAATAATAATAAATAAATTATACTTAAATCAAATCAAATTATCTTTTTTTTGTTAAATTTAATTATCGAATAAAGAATATGATTATAAAAATGATTGAAATTTAAAAGAAACGAAAATATTTTAAAAATGTTGTTCTTTTAACAAAAACATATTTTAACTTAATTGAAAAAGACTTCCAAACACATGAAAATTCTGTGCAAGGGAATTGATATAATTTTACAAAATTTATAAATCGAGTTGGGAAATAACTAAACCAAAATCGAAACTATATGCCCGATGTCCACCTCTAATCATCAGAAATTTCTTTATAAATTGATTTAGATGAACTTTTATACATCACACATCCATTTTACGAACAAATGTTTACACGAATATTGTCCAATCGATTTGTTTACTACGCAACCAAATAACCATTAGAACATATCATATATGGACGGATATATGGAGAAATCTCAAAATGAAATTATCCTACATATCATATTTCATTGTGCAGAACATATACACGTCTTTTGAATTTAGTAAAGATATGAAGAATCTAAAATTAAATCTTTTGTTAACTGTGCTATGTATATGTTTATTTTTTTAATCTTTATTTTAATAATTTAGAAAATTCTATAAAAATATACATGATACAAAACAAATATATTAAAAAATTTAGGAAAATTTGGCAAAAATATCCTAACTTTACAATGTGTGAAATAAATAACTAAAATTTTAATTTATCTAATTGATACCTTAAATGTTAAAATATTCTACATTGAAATCTAAAATGTTAAAATATTCTAAATGAATATCCAATTTATGAAATTGAAAACAATTTACAACCTCGATTTATTTTTTATGTTAGAATTATCATCTAGTCGAAGTTGAGAATTGTCATCAATTTAATGAGTTAAGATATCTATTTAAAATATGTCAACATTTGAAGTATTAATTTAGAACATTTTAACATTTGAAGTATCAATTAGATGAAATTTAAAGTTTAGCTATTTATTTGATATATTTTATAAAGTTGGAGCATTTGTATGGGATTTTTCTAAAATTTATAATTTTAATTTATCGGATAAATACATAAAACTTTCCCAAAAGAAAAAAACAAATAAAAACTGTACACCCCTTACAATATGCTGTATCATTGAGATATAAAAATAAATTCGATTACAATATACTATATCTATACTTTTTCTCTCATTTCACATTTTCTTCCTTTTTTTTTCTTCTTTCTCTTTTTCCCGTCATCACCTTGAGCTTGTGATGTTTGTCACCTCTAATGAATTTTTTTTGGTCCTGTGAATTTTGTCCCTTAAATTTACAATCAATAGTGAAAATAATTCCAGTAATTCGATAGTAATAAATAAAAAAAATTGAAACTATAATATACAAATATTTGGAATCTACACCACAACAGCAAAATAACATAATCAATGAGAATATTTTATTTTGTTTGGCAAAATATATCATTATTTCAAATTTAGAGATATAAATTCGAAGAAAAATCTAAATCTATGTTACATGTGGCTGAATCATAAGAAAAAATTAGGAATTTTATATCAAGGAGAATTTGACGTGGGCTCTTGAAAACCCTCCGATTTTAAGTAAAATTTCCGTAATATTTTTAACAGAAAAACACATGAAATGATGGATTCAAAACACTTTTAAATTTAGGACTAAATGAATAATATATAGAAGGGAAATGAAATTTTGAAAGATTTGATTAGGTGTTGGAGCCAACATAACTAAAGAGACAAAAGCATCGGCGACAGAGAAGAAGAGACAACTGCTTAGCTTTGTGTCTTCTTAGTTATGTTGGGGTCCAACATCTAACCCAAACGATCCTTTGAAGCCTCGGTTCCACTGTAGAGGAGGAGGATGCTGCTGTTTTATGGCTTTTTACATTAGATTGCATATTTTTTTTTATAGGAAAAAAGCATATATATATATATATATATATTTATATATAAAACCTGAAAGAGGCTTTTACCAAAAAAAAAAAACTCGAAAGAGGCATGGATTTTGTGGGTCTCATTGTTTTTATTTTTCAGTGGAAGTGTTGTGAGGCTTCGCTTCTGTTCTTATAGTGTTTTTTTGGGGGTTGACCGTAATGGCTCATTAATGCAGCCTTATTATTTGCCTCTGATTTTTTTCTATACATAGATGTCAGAATTTATCTCATATATGGAAAAATATCCGAAGGAAGAAATGGAGAATTTATTATATATATATATATGTATATAGTAGGAGGTAGTTTTTGAAGGAAGGATGTACAGATACATATAAACAAATTTATGCTGACTGTGTATATGCGCCATAAAATAAAGAGAAAACTATAAAATAGTAAAATATAAAATACTAAAAAAACATCTGTGTAAATAAATTAATTAAAAAGATGTTTTCTATACAAAAGTACAAAAATACTTTTAAAAACTTACCAACTTTTTAAGCGTAAACTGTTAAAAAATCTATTTTATAATATATGTTAAAAATATTATGAGATGAAGTGGAAAACAAAATTTAACTAAAAGATATATTGTTACGAGGAAAGTGGATTTAAAAAAAAATAATAATAACTGGATAGTGTCGGATATGGATTTATAACAAATAAAAGCCAGTAATATTTAATTTGGTTACAAAACAATGATATATAGTTAGTTTTTTATAATATAGAATCCGTGGTCACTATCCTTCGTATACCAATGGATAAATTTCTACTCAGTGAAGAGATTAGAAAGATTCGAACCTACAACTTTATGATTGTAACGATCCAAATCCGATATTTTGGACAGGATGAATCATCACTTGGATTTTAAAGAAAATCTAGATTTTTCCACATCAAAAAACATCGTCTCATATTACAACGGAAGTCTCGACAAAATATAAATTTAAAATATTAAAGTCATAAGAAAATAAGATTTCCAAATCTTCGTTTTCCTGGCAACTACCGAGTCCAACCAAAACGATCTGCTCCACCTTTCACCTATAGAGAAAAGTAAGAGACGAGCTACGCGAATAACTCACTGAGATTCCAGGATTATCAACATCGCATCTGTATCCAACATAAACAATCAGATAGAAAACAACCTATTGATTCATGTTATTTCTATAATTTTTCTTTATTCAATTCTTTAAAACAAGTTCAAACTCCATGACCATTCAGTACCCTTCAAACTGAACTTAAAACCTTTATTATAAAAACAAAACAAAATTCGTTGTAACCCTCTGCGGATCGTCGTCGTAGTCGGGGTTAACTTTTCAAAACTCAACCAATAGCAGTAACCTTCTACGGATCACTGCCGTAGTCGAGGTTACCACTCCACATGAATCGCTGTCATGCCCGGGTCGTTATCATGCCATCACATACGGATCGCCGTTATACCATGATCTCAAAACTCAATCAATAGTCATAATCCTCTATGGATTGTCGTCATAGTCGGAGTTATGGCTCCACATAAATCACAGTCATGTCCGGGTAGTTATCATACCATCACATATACAGATCATTGTCGTAGCATGACCTTAAAACTCAACCAATAGTCATAACCCTCTACTGTAATACCCTGTGAATTCCTTATCCGCACAGAGCCTTAGGAGACCCTATATGAACCAGAAAAACGGCTCTAGAACATAGCATCGAACATAGCCCAAGCTAAACCAAAGGTTTGCACCGCATCGAGGCGAAGAAAAGAGACTGAAAACTGTCCAGACTGACCGGTCTAGGTGGAGACCGATCGGTCCAGAAGGAAAAAAAGCTCCAGACCGGTCGGTCTGCACACAGAGACTGACCGGTCTAGGCGAAGACGAAACCCAGGTTTCGTCGCGTCTTCTTCCTCCTCCCAGCGGGTGCCACCTCATGCTTCGCCATGTCCCGCCTCTTTCCTCCGTGGGATGCGAAATCGCGTCTAAGTCCATCCATTCTTACCTCCTCTTCACTCTCACTTCAATCTCTCACTCTCTCAAATTCTCTCCCAAGGTCCGAAACTTCAAGCTTCGATTGGAGCATCGATTTTGGTCAAAATCAATTGAAAAATACAGAAAACAACTTTAGTAGACCTAAGCAACAAAGTCCAAAGCTCAAAATTGAGATAGGTGAGTGTTTCGAAGTAGATCCAAAAATCTCATTCAAATTTCAAATAGAGATTTCTGTGATTTGGGTTCGATAATCCCTTTTTGGCCTTAGATTTGAGTTCCT